TATTTAATATAAATATCCCTATATTTAATATAAATATCTCTCCGTATATTATCTTAGCATATATCCTTAATTATAAATATCTTATATTGAATATTTCCCTAAGTATATATTTATTTACTCTAATTAACTTATACTAAATATTCTCTCCGCTCATATACTTTTCAACCCTTATTATTACTCCTACCTTATATCTTAACAGTGACATTGAATTGTAAATGTTGATTAAGAATTAATATATAAACTGTGTTACCTAGTTTCTGCTTTTGTCGATTCAAAAATATTCTAGCCATTAAAATGATCCTTTAGGCATTTAGAACTGAAAGGCAGCTCCGAGGTTTAGTCAGTTGTCCTTTTATGGACTCCAGTTTACATCCTTACTAGACTGGTGAGTTATTTCTTGGCATCGTTTTTAAAATATAAAAGCTTAGGTAATTGAGGTCCATTTAGGTACAAATTATACCAATTTTAAGGTATTATCTTTTATAGTTTTTGGAACAACTAAAATATATAGATTTATGCAGGCGTTATATTATATGGAGGACCTGTGGCAAGTTCTCTGTTAAATATTCCACAAGCACATTCATTTCATCATGAGTACAGTTCGCTGGCTTGCACCGTCGAAATTGTGGATGACGTGTATGCAGCTATTGATCATATAAATCTGTATGGAAGGCACGTCGTCGTTTTCTGCTTGATAATGTCGAATTATATTCTTGCTTTAATTTATCTTTGCTGTTCTCCATTTCAGTTGACATCTTTGATAGTGTAGCGAGCTTTGATGGCAGAGTATCTCATCTTCTATTTTTTTTTATGCCAGTGCACATACTGATTCGATCGTTGCTGAAGATAACGAAGTAGCTAATGTGTTTCTACGCCAAGTAGACAGGTAACTTTTGAAATATCTTATTTTTTTATTTAACAAATAAATATTTCACGGAAATAATATAAAAGATTTCTCTCTTAGTTCTCTATTTTGTTGCTTCTTATTCTCTACGATTTGACAAAGTTGCTCATGTAAATATTAAACAAACATTTTCTTTAAATTATTCACTTCTTTCCAAGAAGATATCAACTGATATAGAATAGCATAAACTTCTCTGCAACCAAAATAAACGAAAGAAGACAAAAGAGGCGAATACATTCCAAAAAACCTATTTTACTCTTTTTGTGCTTTTTTTGTCACTCTTTAAACTCTTTATTCTTGACCTATGTATGATCATATCATCAACACATGGGTGCAATAGCATTTATGTAAATATTGTTCGTCTTGTATTGGCAGTGCTGCTGTTTTTCACAATGCAAGCACCAGATTCAGTGATGGGGCACGATTTGGACTAGGCGCCGAGGTAGAAATATTGTTTGCATTTTATAATATATCTTTTCATTATGGTTGTTGATTTAGTATGTAATTCCCTTTTGGTTTAATAGGTTGGAATTAGTACAAGCAGGATTCATGCTCGAGGTCCAGTAGGAGTTGAGGGATTGTTAACAACAAGATGGTATGAGCTGATGGTCAATTTATAGTGCTAAAATTACTACAATCAAAATTTTCAGTCATTCATTTGACAGTTGCCGCTGATAGTGTAAACCGCATCTTAAATATCAATAACTTGCTGCAACACAATCACAGAAAGTAGCCAAATTAAAGATGCTGCACCTGCACGTTTTTAATGGAATATATCTTATAAGGCTACTCTAGAGTTTAGAATACGTTCTTAAGCCATGCATGAATCTTGAATTTCATCACAAACAATCATTTTATAATAAACCTCCATGTTATGTGGTGCTTCCTTCGTGTTTTACGTATTGTCTTTTGCCTTCTACATACGCAGGATACTAAAAGGAAGGGGACAAGTGGTAGATGGTGATAGAAGCGTTGTCTACACCCACAAAGACCTTGCAATTTAATTTTAATGGTGCTTTGATTCCTTTTGTAGCCTTTTCGTTTTTTTTTTCAAGTAGAGAACGACATTTGTACGGTTAAATAAAACCGGGTAATTTATATCATTTGCTTGTTCCTTTTTGTCTAGAATCTTTACTGTCAACAATTATGGTCCACAATGTTTAACGATTCTTGAATGATTACAATTCAATTTAACGTTAATTGAATGACTGCAATTTCAATTTGAGTTAATTTTTATATGTACGATGCTGTATAATTCTTCCACTTGAGACGGAACCCCTGGAATTCCAGGCTGGAATTGGTTAAAGTCCGGTTCCTATGCAAACCGACAGCTAATAGTGATGATCTTAAAAGTAATAATTTATTACATTTTGAAGAATTACATTAATAAATTATCGATTTGGACTTGACTTATCAGAAACCCTCATGCTAACTCGTTAAGAAAAGCAAAAGGGTTTCAGGAATATTTATAACTGCAATTTTTAAAAAGAAATGTATCAGTTTATAACAAGCTGAGAATTGATAACTTTCTAAAAGAAGACATACAGCAATTTACTCAATGGAAAATAAGAAAGGTTGAAAAACACTGAAGGCATGCAATCAAACATAAACCAACAATTTTCTCCATCAAACTTATTGCATCTAAATCAATTCAGCCAACACTTAAACGCATAATCTCCCTTCAATAGCTAATAGGAGCAGCGCTACAACTGAACCACTAAGATAAAATCTTTCGGTATTGTTTCCTTCAAATGTATAAGCAAATGATTACCCAAAATTTCAGCCACGACCATACTTTCTTCAAATTAAACGACCGCGCTAAGCACATAAGAAGACGTGAAGGCTCACGCTTGAACGAAGTTCTTGAGCTTATTCAGCCACACCAAGTACTCTTTACTGTCCTTGTTGATCATGTACTCATGCAAGAAATTGGTTGTGCTGGGTTTGATTCCTCTGATTTCCAAATACCTATGGAAAGACTTCTGCAAATTCTCATCCAAGTCCCTGTAGAAGACAATAAAACACAGTAAGTTCAATCATACAACACCTTACCACAACCACAAACAAAAAGTAAATTTTTCAAAGAGTTGAAGAAAGAAGGACGTACTGGAAGTCAGGTCCCTCATAGGCAATTTGATCCTCGGTAAGATCAGGATTCTTAACAGACAAACTGTCAATAACAATCTCATCAGGGTAACCCACACAATTAAATTCTAGATAGGGTCCACCCTTCTTGTAAACACTGACCGAAAGTGGAATGCTAGACTGAGGAGCTCTTTCACCCTCATTATCGTCATCGTCGTCATTTCCTTCCCCAGTAACCAAATCAGGCATGTGAACCTCTACCTTAATTTCCTCATCTTGGTACGTTCTCTCGAGCGTTATAGTTTGATTTCCGGGACTATCAATTATTTTAAAGGGAAAATTACTCGGAACTCCTTCCTCCTATAAACCAAATCAATTTTCAGTACAAAAACACTCTCAAAGCTAAAACAACCATAGTTATTAACGTGTATGAATTGCAAAGCAATGAAGATACTCACTGCGTTGTGATCGTCGGTTTCCTGGGCGCATGCGATTTCGGATTCGATGACTCGGAGAAGGTTCTCATCGGAGGTTGGTTTCTTCCGGGCAGCTGTAGAAGAAAAGTGAAACTTTGGAACAAACGAATCCTTGTGGTGGTTGATGGCCGAGAAAATTAACGTGCGGTGACCCAGGCGGTTATTCTTCGTCAATTGACCCGCCATAGCAAGAGCCCTCACAAAAGAACCCGACTTGCGAAGAATTGAGTTGAACGCCATAGCCAAACACGGAAGGGTTTTACTAGGGTTTTAGGACGTGGATTGGGAAATATTTTTAAGACATTTTAAATTTATATAGCTATCTTGACACGCAACTGTAAATCTGGGTCCGTTTCTGTTGGTTCAGCCCAATAACAGATACCCGAAATTCGTCCCATTTAGATACCATTTTATTTTTTGCACCACCATACTTTCCTTCTGCATCCCATAAATATGAAAAACCTCATTTTGCTCTTCTGATTTTTTTTTTTTTAATTTTAAAATCTGACAGCTTAAGAGATTGTGTAATGTGGAAGTTAAAAGGTGGGTTTTCAGATTATATAGTACCAAAGTCAAAAGTCTCTTTCAAATTGAATTTATAAGTATTTTTTTTACATAAATAAGTTTTCGGTTGTCTAATCCGAAAAATAATTTTTTTATTTTTGGGTTACCAAATCTCAAAGTCATTTTTTCTATAAAAAGGTTTTGAATTATATAATTCAACTTGAAACTATTGGGAATAACCCAAAATCTATTTTTGTTTCCTCGTAAATATGTTATTTTTGTGCTTTCCTTTCAAAGCAAACCCAACCATTACGAAAACCAAGGAATGTTTATGAAGACTGTCTCGAAATAGGGTATTACTCCCTACACCACCACACATTGCTCCTTGTATCACCATACTTTTTCTAAATTCCAAAATTATCCTTTATATCTTAAAATATTTTACACCCCTCCTTTTCTCTTGAACGGATGTCGACATCCGTTGAAGAAAAAATTCTTCAACGGCTGTGCCGCACATCCGTTTAGTTTTTTTTTTTTTAAGTTTTTAGTTTTTTTAAGTTTTTAAATTAATATATAAATATTATTTAATTTTTTTTAAATTATTACTTAACTATTTATAAATTAATTTTATTTTATTTAATAAAATAATTATTATAATTTAATTTATATATTATTATTTTAAATAATAATTAAAATACTTTTAAAATTTTATTAAAATGGATACGGATGTTACCACATCCTTAAAATTTTTTTCTTTTTAAAGTTTTTAGTTTTTTATTATATTATATTTTAAATTAATATATAAATATTATTTAATTTTTGTAAAATTATTATTTAATTAATTATAAATTAATTTTATTTTATTTAATAAAATAATTATTATTAATTTAATTTATGTATTATTATTTAAATAATAAAATAGTTTTTAAAAATTTATTAAAATGGATGTGGGCAACATTCATGAAGTTTTTTCTTTTAGTTTTTAATTTATTATATTTTAAATTAATATATAAATATTATTTAATTAATTTAAAATTATTACTTAATTATTTATAAATTTATTTTATTTTATTTAATAAAATAATTATTATTAATTTAATTTATATATTATTATTTAAATAATAATCAAAATACTTTTAAAATTTTTTATTGAAACGGATGTGGATCTCGCCACATCCGTTGAAAATTTTTTTTTAAGTTTTTAGTTTTTTTAAGTTTTTAAATTAATATAAAAATATTATTTAATTAATTTAAAATTATTACTTAATTTTTTATGAATTAATTTTATTTTATTTAATAAAATAATAAATATTAATTTAATTTATATATTATTATTTAAATAATAATCAAAATATTTTTAAAATTTTTTATTGAAACGGATGTGGCAATCCGTTAACAGATCTCGCCACATCCGTTGAAAATTAATATTATTTTTTTAAATAAAAACAATAAATTAAAATATAAAATATGTGAATAGACGTTGACGGTGAAACGGATATTGACATTCGTTTTAGAGAAGGGTAAAATTGATATGGGATGATGTAAGGAACATTCGGTGGTGGTGGAGGGAGTAACTGCCCTCGAAATAAAGATGTCTATTATTCTTCAAGTGTATATTTGGGCCTACAGTTAGGAGTTCGGCCCAATAAAGGGTGCCGGGAATTTGCCCTATTTAAAAGCCCCCGATTATTGGTGAAATTTGATTTCCCGCTCTGAAAACCCTAACTACCTCTGAGATTGAGTGAACTGGGAAGGGAAGCAAGAGCGAATGGGGCAGAAACAGCGAGGAAGTTCTGATGTCGACAACGAAGTGAAGAAACGACGACGTGTCGGTTTCTCAGTAATAGGTGAGTTTCACTTATTTTGTAGTATTTATTGTGTTGAATTATTCATTTCATGGGGCTGCGACGTATATGAATATTTTGGTCGGGTTTTGTAGATGATGGAGTTGAGGCCAAAGATTGCATCACAATCTACCTAGGTATGCTTAAAATACGCGATAATTTTGTCATGTTGCTCTGTAGTTCTTAATTTGGATGGTTTTAGTGTAACTTGAGTATGTAATGGTCAAAGGTGGTTTCTTTGGAAATGGGTTGCTGACCTTATGATTTTGCTAATTATGTGTGGGGTGTCTCTTTTCTTGTCAATGACCTCTTTTGAGCTTGGTTTGCTAAGGGCTTGATCTTGCTAATCAATTTCTACTCAAGTTCGTTTATGTGGTCTTTAGTGCTCTTTAGTTTCTTTGCTCATTTCTTCTAGTTGCTTGTGAATATGTTGTAATTCTGCAGCTGCATTGTATACTTTAATTTCAATATTTATTTAATGTCTGCTACTATTGTACAGTTTCAAGCAAGGAAGAATTTGATGCTCCTGAAAGCTTTGTCATTCATCCTGTTGATTTGAATAACTATTTTAATGATGATGGGAAAATTTATGGCTACGAGGGTTTGAAGGTTAGATTCATTTTTAACAACAGTAAATTTATTTATTGAAAAATAACTGTATTTGAATGTTTTATATGATACGGTGTCTTATTTTTTTCAGCTGTTTTGAATTTGTTTTACAGATTACCATCTGGGTTAGCAGCATATCTTTTTACTCATATGCTGATATTGCATTTCTAAGTTCATCTGATGTAAGTTCTGAATTTTTGACTAATGGGAAAAATCATATGTATGTTCAAAATTTTAATTTGTTATGCATCAAGCATTATGACTGACTTTTTTTTTTAATTTGCTCAATTTTTTAAGCGAGGCAAAGGTATCACTGATCTAAAATCTGCTCTTCAGGTACGCATCAATATCACCTGGGGTGACCACTAACACCTTGTGCTCTGTCATGACATTGCCACTTGTTTATTGTTTGTGTAGACAATTTTTGCTGAGACTCTTGTTGATAGCAAGGATGAATTCCTTCAAAAATTTATGGTGGATAACGATTTTGTTAGGTATTTTTTCTTTATTATGCTGTACATTCAACACAAAAGCAACACACTTGCCATGCAAGTTTTCTTTCCTTAGTAATGTTTGGAAACTGATTTATAAAATTGGAGGGTTGTGGATGATTTTTTAATTGATTTGCAGAACAAACATCTCAGAGGGAGAAGTTTTGAAGCACAAAGCTTNCATATGTATGTTCAAAATTTTAATTTGTTATGCATCAAGCATTATGACTGACTTTTTTTTTTAATTTGCTCAATTTTTTAAGCGAGGCAAAGGTATCACTGATCTAAAATCTGCTCTTCAGGTACGCATCAATATCACCTGGGGTGACCACTAACACCTTGTGCTCTGTCATGACATTGCCACTTGTTTATTGTTTGTGTAGACAATTTTTGCTGAGACTCTTGTTGATAGCAAGGATGAATTCCTTCAAAAATTTATGGTGGATAACGATTTTGTTAGGTATTTTTTCTTTATTATGCTGTACATTCAACACAAAAGCAACACACTTGCCATGCAAGTTTTCTTTCCTTAGTAATGTTTGGAAACTGATTTATAAAATTGGAGGGTTGTGGATGATTTTTTAATTGATTTGCAGAACAAACATCTCAGAGGGAGAAGTTTTGAAGCACAAAGCTTTCAAGGAGAAGATTTGTGTTTCTAATCAGCATACAGATTCATCTGCTTCAAATGTTGAGGTTGTATTTACATTTAGGCTCAATGTATTGCTCTTTGGTCAAGAGTTAGGCTGTATGATTATCTTAAACAAATGTTTTCCAAATTTCTAGTGCAGTCTTGTGAAGTCTCAAGTAAATTCTGTTTCACTACATTGACGGAGTGGAATATGTAATCGGCCTATGTTAGTGTGTGATGATGCTGAATTGCTTATGGTGGTTTATAATAACGCTATTCTTCTGGAAAACTTGCATGTCTGGTCAATTAAATTTTCTCCTTTCTTGGCATGAATAGATTTAGGCTAAAATGATTCTTGGAAAGTGAACTGTACCTGCCCACCTATTTGTGATTGTTATCGGTGATTTTTGCCAAATCTTCAGCTCTAAATTTTGATGGTTCTAATGGAAAAGTTCATCAAATAAGTCATGTGTCACACTTGTCTGTGGTGTTTTCATTCTCTGGTTAGCCAGTGGCCTAATGCGCTTATTATGTGACACTTGATATGCATATTTTAGGGGCATTTTGTGAAGATGAATGACATTTTTGTGTAACATCTGGGCCAGGTTGTCCGTTTGGTGGGAGGGAACATGGCTACTGGGCAACTTTACAGTCATCTAATACCCCTCACACTACTACTTGTTGATGGTAATTTTCACGTATTATACTACTTTATATGCCCTTGTTACAAACTGTTTAGATTGCATATTGTCGTAGCTGATATATTTTTACCTTGTTTGCCGTGTAGGAAGCAGTCCTATTGATGTTACTGATTCACAGTGGGAGATGTATGTTGTGTGTCAGAAGACAACTGATCAGCAGGGAGAGATCCAATATAGGGTGATTGGTTTTTCTGCTGTTTATCGATTTTATCACTATCCTGATGATTCCAGATTGCGATTAAGTCAGGTTTGTAAGAAGCTGGACATTCCGTAAATGCTGTTATGTCAAAATCAGTTATAACTTTTAACATGATCTTTAAAGTTCTCTCAAATGCTTACTCTTGCCACCTTTTGACGATAATTGCTGTTTATGGCAGATACTGGTATTACCTCCGTACCAGCACAAGGGTTATGGTCGATTCCTTCTAGAGGTGCTTTATGATGTTGCAATAGCTGAAAATGTTTTTGATTTCACCGTAGAAGAGCCACTAGATCACTTCCAAATTGTCCGCACTTG